CCTCGCTAGCTAACTTCGGCTCGTAGCTATAGTAGGACCCTAAATCACCTAAAAAGCACCTAGTCGACCGCCTAAAACGCCTATAGTACGGCGCTCTAGTCAGGGCTCAAGGGGCTTTTAGGGGGGCCCCCTTACGGCCTCTAGAACTAAAAGCAGCAGTGCCCCCAGCGTCGATTCGGTTAACTAGATCTAATAGACTTTATGCCTTTAGGTCTTTAAAGTTCTTACCGAACCACCCTATAAGACTCTAGCTTCTAGGGGAGCTAGGGGAAGACCTCGCCCGCCTATAAGACCTATAGCCCACTATATAGCTCTATAGGCTAGGCCTAGAATTAGCCGCTTTAGTAGGGTAGTCCTAGGAAATAAAGGGCCCTACAGCTAGGTAGGAGGCCCCCTAGGCCTCCGAACCAATAGCAGACCTTAGACCATTTTTCCCCTTAAAAGAATAGCCTATAACCGCGGAAAACACCGACTCCGGCACCCAAGACCTAAAAACAGCCCACCTCGAAGCCCTTAAGGATATACAGCAATCCCTAAGCGAGTAGGCCTTAGTTTTCTACACCGACGGCTCCCTAAGCCACCCTATAAGGCCTCCTACAAGGCCTCTACAGGCAATAGCCGCTATAATACTGTGGGCTAATACCTATAGGCCCTGTAAAGCTATAGGCTTTAACCTAGGGACCTTTGCCGAAGTCGCCGACGCCGAATTATACGCTATTCTTTAAGCCCTTTAGACTGCCCTAAAGCAGTCGCCTAGGCCCCTAGAGTACTATATTTTTAGCGATTCATAGGCGGCTATTCAGAAGCTTTAGCGCTCCTCTTAGTGGGCTATAGAGGCTAAGACCCTTATCTAATAACTAAAGTAATAGGGCACTTTAGTCTCTGTGTAGTGGTGCCCTCCGTATATAGAGATAAAGGGGAACGAACTAGCGGATAAGGCAGCTAAATAGGCGTTAGACCCTAAAAAAACTGCCAAATCTATTAGCTTAGTTACCCTTAGTCACTTAAAGTGTCGTGTTAACGAGACCCTAGTTTAAGACTAGAAGGCTTTATAGAACGAAGAGAAAGAGGCGGAAAGAAGGGGTAAATCGGTCCGATTAGGCCGCCTTTATAGGCGCCTAGTCCGAGATAATCTCCGCTTTTCCCGACAACCACTGCCGATACAGGGCCCTAGGTAGGTAAAATCGGCTTTTATTTAGTTAAAAACCGGCTTCGGGTACCTAAAATCCCACTAAAAAAGGGCCCGTAAATACGCTAACGACCGCTATCCCTATCCCGGCTCCCCTATACAGGATACAGCCCACCTTATCCTTTCCTGCCCTTTTTATACAAACGAACGAAAAGCCCTGCGGGAAGCCCTAGCAGGCCTACCGCTATCTCTACCGCTATTATTCAGTACTAAAAGAGGAATACAGGCTTTAGAGGCCTATCTTTTAGCTACTAAAATGGCCTCGGCAGAGTGGTACAGGGCGCAAACCTCGGATCCTGCGGTCTAGTTATCTGTTTTGGTTTTTACCTGTTTTTCGGGATATTAAGCGGACTATTAGGGAGGATTTCCTTTATTTATTACTACTACTCCACTCCTTACTATAGCTTATTCTAGCCTCTAGCCTATAGGGCAAAAGGCGCCGCGCCATAGCTTTAGGGCTGCGTGCGCGTAATGAATAAAAAAAACCGAAAAAAAAAACGAAAACAAAAAGAAAAGAAAAAGAAAAAAAAAAAAAAAAGCCTAGTATAAGGCAGCATAATATACCCGGATAGTATAAGACTAATAAGTAATAGCTTACTTATACTTATAGACGTTTTATAATAAGAGTTAGTAACGAGGATATAGTATATATAGTATAATAGCGAGGTAAGAAACCTATAAAAGGCGTTAGCTTTTTACGAGTATCGGTAACGGCGTTAATAAGAGTATTAGCGGTATCCTAGTAAGAAGGAGGGATTTAATAGGAGGATTAGCGGAGCGAGGGTATAACGGGGATATAGCGGGGATAAACCGGGGCGTAGTTATAGGTGCTATAATAACTATTAATATATTTAACATAGCGGGCGCTAGCTCGTAACTCGGGTTAGTAGACACGGTATAAGGCAAGGGCGTAGCGGGGATATAATAAGGATATAATAGAACTATTTACCAGGGGGGTTTTATAGGGCGCGGCGAGGAAATCTCTTACTAAGGACACGATATACGATATATAAGGAGATAAGTAGAGTATAGGCTTAGACTATACCGGGTTAGGATATAAAGCGGGGGCGTAAAGCGGGCGCTAAAATAGTAGCGCAGGGAACTTATAGTTAATAACTCGGGGGTAGCCGGCCCTTTACCCTTCTAGGCGCCGAAACCGGCTCCCCCTTTAATAGTAATACTTTCTTTATTCTTAGTAGGTATTTAATAGGGAAAGAGGGTTAGACCGAGGCGGGCGCTATAGGGGCGGAGCGGTAACGGTATAAGGATAGCCTGACCCTAAACCCTATAGGATCCCCTATACTATAGCCGAATAGTACTAAGGGAATCCTACATAGGAGTACTTTAGGGCCGTACTTAAACCGTACCGACTACGCGAAACTTACCTTAAAAGACGATAGCTTAAGGAAAGGAAAAAAGGAAAAAAGGAAAAAAGGAAAAAAGGAAAAAAGGAAAAAAGGAAAAAAGGAAAAAAGGAAAAAAGGAAAAAAGGAAAAAAGGAAAAAAGGAAAAAAGGAAAAAAGGAAAAAAGAAAAAAAGAAAAAAAGGAAAAAAGGAAAAGAGGAAAAGAGAGACGAAAAAAGGGAGGTTTATAAGAGGAGGCGGCGGCGGATTAGCCTTATAAGTCACTATACCTATTAAGGAATAGTAGCCACGTCTAGACTGTACTATAGCGCTTACCCCGGGGAGCCTACGTAGCGCGAGAAAGGAAGGCACGCGGCTATCTAAGGGCCACTATAAATAGCAGGTATATAAAGGCGGTTTACGAATAAATAATAAATAAAGGAAAGAGTAAGGGGGGCGGGCACGCCCCCGCCTCTATAAAGGGAAAGGAAGGCCTGAAGGGTGTTGTGGCGAGAGTAGAATAACCTTACCGGATCCGGAATAAAGGAAAGGACAGCGGCGAGTAACCGCGGCGGTAGCGCGCTAAGGGCGCGCGCAAACCGACACGGTATTAACTAAACTAATTAGCCGGCCCCTATTAGCTATTAGCCCGGAGGTAAGATCTGGTTTTTGAATAGTACTAGGACCGCGGCCATAGAGTGCTACCGTAACGGCCCTGCACGATAGAACTTTCTTATATAGTAAGAGTACAGGGGTTTTTATCTATTAACGGTTTCGCCTAGAAAATTAGAGAAGGACTATTACCTAGGTGGCTAGCCTAGCTTAGCTAAGCGAGAGCAGAGTAATCAATAATAATAATATTAATTTTAATTACCTTATTACCCTATACTAGGGCACCTAAAAAGGACTAAGAGGGCTTCTAGGAGGTAGTAAGGGAAATAGTATTAGGATCGATACCGCGACGAAAGAGTTTAAGCCGGCGTTCTTTTATATTCCTCTTAAGACGTAGTTCGAGATAACGGGTCTTGACTACGAGTTCGGCGTCTTAGAGATCTATAGTAGATATATTCTGGATATCTAAGCGAGTATATTACGTTACCTGGTTATCCTTTTATCTATTAGGGTCGGGGGCGTGTATTTTATTAGGGTTGGGGGCACTATTATTGGTAGACGGAGGGGGGGGCGAAAGGGTAATAACTCCTTATTATCGTTTATAGGCGTTATAGAAGGGGGTAGCGGGTTAGCGCGTTAAGGCATAGTAGCCTCCTAGTATATTCTTATAGATCGGTAGTGTTATAATCTCTATCGGTTATTATACCCGTGTAAAAGGGGAGAACGAATAAAATAGTATAGGTATACTATAAGGAGTAATAGATAATTATAGGATAATATAAGATTACTTCGAGTCTAGTAGAAACTAAAAAGGGGGTATTATAATAAGATTATTCGTTAAGTGCCTTTTTTCCTTAAGACTCCTTAAACTACAGACAACACTCCCTCCTTGATACCTACCTAAGGTCTTCTAACTAAGTAAGTAGCGGGAGGCCTCCTTAGGACTAAGTTCAGGTCTAAGCTAGTCTTCTAAGCTTACTTCTAAGCTAACTAGCTTACTAGATCTTAACGCGTCGTATCTCTAATAGTCTAACCACGATCTCTCTATCTATATATAAGGCTAGTGCTAGTCCTATAGCAACGTATAAGCACTGTATATTCTGATAGTTAGGTACCTATTAAGGGAGGACCGGGTTATTAGGGCGTAAATATCTCTAAACGTTATTAAACGTGGCTACCAATTTATAGCAGCGGCGTTAGGGTGCCTAGTCTTATAGGTATAGTAGACTATAGGGTTAGTCTTGTTTATCTTACCGAAAATAGGTTATTAAAGTAGTTATTTCGGTAGGATTATAACTAGTTCTCGGCTTACTATAACGGCTCGGCTAGTATAGATATTAAAAGGTAGTAGGATAGGTAAAACGATATATTATTACTTAGTAAGTAAGACTCTTATTTATTATATATAGCATAACTAGAACCGTTAAAATTAGGGTTAAAATTAAAGAGTAAATTAATTAAGGTAATTATATAGTTCTATCCCCTATAGGACCGTCAGGGAGCTACTACCGCCGTTTTATATATAGTCAAAATTCTGCAGGTGTCCGTTTGCCCGGACTACCGAGGTTACAATCCTTCGGTCAAGTCCGTGCCCGTTACGTAACCGTAAACACTACGGTCTATTCCACACTTCCAGGACCCCATCCTCGCAGTATGATACGTATTCCAATTTCAAAGGTATCTACGGAGTAGTCCTCACGACTGAATTTGCTCCTTCGCATTCCCACAGAACCAACAAGCAAAGAACACTCACTTGACGCCTATACGATATAACCTAGAGATTGCGATCACAATGCGCTGGCTTGCCTCGGTTCTCGCCGCCCTTTTACTGTTGACTCTAGGGTCACCGGTAGGGGCGGCCAAGAAGTCGTCAGTGGAGCGTTTCCAGGAGTTTCACACGAAAGCTCTCTCTTCCGCGCCCGTGAAGCTGGACGATGCCGCCTTCAAAACCGCAACATCAGCGCCACGCGACTACACTGTCATGGTTCTATTAACGGCCCTGGATCCTCGGTTCGGCTGTAAGCTCTGCACAGAGTTCCAACCTGAATGGGATATCCTGGCCGCGAGCTGGACCAAAGGCGATAAGAAGGGAGAATCGCGTATAATTTTTACAACCCTTGATTTTACAGATGGACGTGACACGTTCATGTCCGTACGTCAACGATCCAACTCATTCCCTCGGCTAGGAAATCACTGCTAACGCTGTTAAACCAGCTGGGTCTGCAAACCGCGCCCGTCCTCCTCATGTATCAACCCACGGTCGGCATTCATGCGGTGGCTGCTGTTGAACCTTTACGATATGACTTCACAAGCGGGTCAGTCTGACGGTCGTAAGAGAACCGCCGGGGAATACGTAGGCTAACTAAAACAGTCCTCAAGTTGCCGAGCAAGTTCACAGCTGGCTCAGTCGCCACATGCCAGATCGACCGCATCCCCCAGTGAGGCGACCTATTAACTGGATGCGGTGGATCTCAAGCGTCGTCGTTGTCTTGGGGCTTGGTACAGGTCTTGTAGCGGCGACTCCCTACGTTGTTCCCGTACTCCAGAACCGAAATATCTGGGCTGCCTTAAGTCTCATTGCGATACTTCTCTTCACCAGCGGGCACATGTTCAATCAAATCCGAAAGATCCCATACGTAGTGGGTAATGGCCGTGGCGGGGTCACTTACTTTGCCTCTGGATTCCAGAATCAGCTTGGCATAGAGACCCAGGTGGTTGCAGCTCTTTGTATGTTTCTTCTTCGACAGTTGTCGTTGGTTTCTGCTGACAGGTGGTCAGATGCGATTCTTGCGTTCTGTGCAATCTCCCTCACCGTTAAAGTACCCCGCATTGGAAACCCGAAGCAGCAGCAGGTCGCAGTTCTAGCATGGGGAATCGGTCTATTTGTCGTTTACAGCCTCCTGCTTAGTGTCTTCCGGATCAAAAATGGGGGATATCCATTTTCACTCCCCCCATTTATGTAGACAGATTGCCATGGATAAGGCTGTGGACACTGTGGAAATTGGGGCGACACGCACACCATGGGCGACGACTCTCACTTGATAAACCCTGCTAAGAGACATGCTGAAGCTTACTGTTATGCCAATCCATTGGGAATTGGTTAGTAAGAGGGATAGAAATCCCATTTCGTGAGGCGATAACATGGTATACTTGAAGTTTGTGGCACTTGGCTTTCTCGACTTCTGGCCAACTCTGATTGCTTTACTCCGTACGCGTCAAGACTCTCTCTAACTTGCCACTCTCAGCTGATGTCAAGCTACTTAAATTCTTTCCCGCTGCAGCGGGTCATTATCGTGCTGGTTGATTTATGAAGTCAAAACTGTGAATTAGTATCATGGACTAGCAAGTGTTGTTGAACAGACCGTAGTTTTTATAAACAGGGCTCTAGGGAACAGACCCTTAAGGGCAGGCTATGCTAGAATAAAGTCAGGCACACGCCCCTAAAGTTAGGACCTTATACCTATCGCATGGGCACAGCACCACGACGTGGTCCCTAGGGGATCTATGCCTGACTAAGGGCTTCGGACCTCGGGGATTAGGATATAATAAGGGCGGATACCGGAAAAGACCGGATAAGATCCAAATAATATAGTACCCATAACAGAGTCTTCACCACCTAATTTAAGGGTATAAGACACTTACACATATATAACTGAATATAATATAATATATATATATATACATATATAAGATTTCTACTCTATAAGGTTTACTATTATAAGTGCTATTTAATATACGATAGTTATAAGCTCGGTTTATAACGCCTAGATAATAGATATTAATAAGGCTATCCTATTATACTATAAAAGTAATCACGTTATTATAAGCACTCCTTAAATAACTATTATTAACCTAATTAGAGTAATTAAGCGATTAATTAACCTACTTACCTACCTATTAATTAATTAACCGATAAAGAAGCAAAGATATCTTCTAACGTATCCAACACCGAATAAACGGCTACTACCCTTATTAACGAAGGGATTAGGTAGTGTTGGAGCGCGCTATACGCGGTAAATCTGCCTCCTACTAGGATAACTATCTTAATCTAAAGCTAAGTAATATAGAGGCTAATACTTATCTGCTTCTTAAACCTACGCTATCTAATATTCGTAAATACAGAGCCCTTCTTGTTAACCTAAACGCGGCGGAAGAAATAACGGCTACTTCGTCTTCTACTATCACGCTAAAAGGCGATAACGCCACGGATACGAGCTAAGACCCTATTATAGCCGCTACTATTACCGCTACTACCACGGCTATTACGGCTATCGGTAAGAAGAAGACGACCGCTTATAGGAAGGCTACGGCCGTAATAAAAGAACCACGGATAGAGACACCTATATCTATTAATAACCTCTCCGAAAAAGGACGTATATACTATCTATAAGATTACCGTACATACCGCGAGGAAAAGACTTACTATTAGTATTATTATTATTATTATTATCGATCTTACTCCGCTATCCTAACTAATCTACAGGAGCCTTCCTAGGCTATATAGTCCTTCTCGGGTGGCTATAGAGGGGAAATCCAGAGTAAAACCCGGGGGAAACCTCTATATACTTCCTTAGGAAGAGAGGTGCCGCTACGGGGCCGATATAGCCCTGGTTCTTCCCTGTTACGTATCTGGATCTTACTTTTAGGCTAATAGCTAATAGGAAGTATAGCAGGCTAGTAGTTAGATAAGTTAGCCTAAGCTAATCTTTATTATTAGAGCGGAGGCTAAGGGGGCGTTACCGCGCTTTCGCTATACAGCGGCTACGGCTCTTTAGCCTTAATCTCCCTGCGTCCTTTAAGGATTATATCTTTTATTCCTTCTATTCGGTTAATAAAGGGAGTAAGGAGGTAGGCGCCTCCTGCCGTCCCTAGGTAGATTCCTGCTATATCCGGCGGTAGGTAGGGGGATAGGGCCTTACCCTATTATAAGAATTAGATAATTAATATCCCCCGAGGCCTTTATATCTTATTAGATGCCATAGCCACCTTATCGGGGTGTGACAAAGCACATTGTGTTAGACGTGTGGAGTACCTCGCTCCTATATATCCACCCTTATTTCCCCTGCTTTTTCTGTATAGTTAGATATCCCCGTGAAGTATCATAAACTTCACTTAGATAAATATATATATAATTCTGCGTATCTTATTTATATTCTAATAGTTATAAGCCCGGCGTTCTAATAAACGAAGCTATTCCGATCGATCCTATAGCTTCTAGGCTATTAAAATCAGCCTTAAGTCTATACCGGGTAGTTTAGTATTATTAGTAACGTCCGCCTATTTTAGTTTTATTTAATCGTTTTATCGTTTCTACCGCACTACCGTTTAAAGCGTTTAGTATAGTTAATTAACCTTTTTATTTACCCTATTCTACTGCTTTTTATTAGTATAACGATAGCTTCCACGGTAGTAGTGCCTATTATAGGCCTCGTAACGCTTACCTCTCCGAAAGACTAAAGGCCTTAGATTAAAGCCGTGATAATTATCGCGTACTCCCACGATATCGCCGACCTCGTTAATCCAGACCTTAAAAAGGCTAAACGGCCTAAACGCCGTATTCGAACCGATCCACTATAACCTCCTACTATAGCCGAAGAACGTAACGCTACTAATTAGGATATACTGTTTAAGATCTAGCAGGTGGAAAAGGATCGGTATAAGGCTAAAAAGAGGGGGATTTAAGCACTCTATGACTATATCGCGAAGACGGTTAGCCCTGCTTTAAAGGATTAGTACGCCGGTAAAAAGGAAGTTAAGGATATCCTATATACCCTTAAGACGCACCTTAAGCTAACGAACGCCGCCTAAAAGTCACTAATTAAGAGACGCTAGGACAAATACCTCTAAAACGTTAGGCGTATACCCTATAAGCGCTAGCTAGAAGACTTTATAAAGCTATACCGCGACGCCGAGACGTATAAAGTTCGAGAATACGATACTAAGGAATAAATAGATAAACGGCTTCTTTAACGCTATCGGCTACGTAGTACTAGAGTAGTTAGAAGGACGCTTTATATAGCTTATCCGGTTAGAAGAGCAGGACCTACCTTCGATTTAATCTATCGTGGGGGAATATACGATATAGCTTCGTCGCCGCTACCCGTACTAACTCGATAAGAAGCCCACCGTAGTATCCTTGTATACAGTAACCTTCTTAGGTAAGGATAAAGAAGGTAAGAATTAGCGGGTATAATCGGGATAATAAGATAATCAGTAGTCCTCTCTATAGTAAAAGAAAGAGGGGGTAGTATAGGTTAAAGTCCCCTATAAGGATATAGCGGCCCCGTAGTAGTGCTATATCGAATGTATCTTATAGGGGTATATTCTAGGGGATCCTAGCTAATTAGTAGTTCTCTAAGTATATTAACTACATTATAAGGGCGTTATCTTTAGTCCTAAATATAACCGTGTAGGTATCGCGGTAAGCCAGCTATATCTATTTATACAGCGGGTATCTCTTATATATATATAGGAGGGCGCGGCCTTCTCCTTAGATTAGCCGATATACCCCTTAGGAGGGGTACGCAGGGCTTTTCGTGAAGGGGTTAAGGCTAGGTTCCTGGACTACTATTATATCGTACTTAGCGCGGCACCGAATTGGGAGCTCCTGCTATACCTATCTCCTCCCTATATTCTATAAAAGGATATAGATTCTTATTAGTTAGTAGGGAAGGGGGGTTAAGATAATATATCCGGTATATCTAGGGTCTAGTTCTAGCTTTATAGCTCTTACTACGGTGCTTTACTAGCTCCGCGGGGGACTATATAGGTATTTATTAGACCCGATATCGGGGAGCCCTCCTATCCTCTAGTCCTTTTCGAGGGGTATCCCCGGTCCCTATAAAGGGGCCGGTCTTAGTCCTAGGCGATAATAATGGGGGGAAAGATCTACGGCTATTATAGGTATACCGCTTTAGTCTAACGGGTAATATAGAAGTCTCTAGCTTAGTACTTATATACTTCGCGAGTTTTCTCGGCCTTTTTCCTTAATAGTCGGTATAAATCGTTAAAGATATTATAGTCTCCGGTATAGGCGGTATAGCGATAGGAGCGGCTAGGTGCTATAGTGTTATAGTATCCTAATCTCTATAAGTACGCCGATTTAGGCGTAGTATACTAATAGTATACCCTCTTTACTATAAGGTAGCTATTAGACTTATAGCCGAAGTATAGATATTTGTAATACCTTAGGGAGCTAAGGTTAGGATTATATAATTTATAGATATAGCTACCCCTTTCGAAAAGGAGGGTATTCCGGATAAGGCTTACTACCGCTTCTAGTAAAGCCGATTCAATAAGCAGAAGCGTTACCCTATTAATACCGTGGCGGGGTACTTGTTATTATACTTAAAGGATTTTAGCCTCGGGGTTTATATCTTATAGGGATATTAGTAAGTCCTCCTTAGATAGGGTAATAAGGACCTCCCGGAAGATAGCCTTAATAAGTATAGGGTAGGGTTATATAGCTAGGGTAGCTCCTTTACTAAAGGTATTCTTAACCTATTATTCCTTATAAGTAGTCTACTATTATATTTTTTCGGTAAAAGTCAGGTAACTATCTCCGCTAAGTAGTTTCCGTGCCGCTACGGTATTATATCGGGTAGTCGTGGCGTTTATAGCTTAAATGATTTCCTTTAGGGTCCTAGCTCTAAAGGGCTAGTTTTCGGGGAGGGTTCCTTAGCGGACTATTAGTTCTCGGTAATACCTAGTAGGGATTATTTTAGGGGGGGCGGTGTCCCGTAGCGGCGCCGCCGCGGGTACTCGGGCTATAATATTAGCCTAGGTCTCTTTTATACTACTCGTTCTTTTTCGGAGTTTTTTACAGATAATATAGCGGACGGATATATATAGGTATATTAGCGGTGGCGTGCTAGTATTATTACAGATATTATATATTATAATTAGTGCCTTTACTAGCTCCACGACCTATTTAATTATATTCCTATTAGCTAAGAAAGCCTAA